CTGCCTTCTCGCCCGGTGTAATGGAGGGTTGTGGGGGAAGTCACCATGGAGTATTCGTATTGATACGAGGCGGAGTACACGAACACCGCACTTCCGCTGGTGAGGCCAGTGTATTTGTCGCCGATGCGGTGTTCGATCCAGAAGAACTTCTTGTACTGCTCGTGGCCGCTATCGCAGTAACTGAGGATGCGATGGTTGCACGCCTCGGTCTCGATCGCCAGCGCGATTGGCGCGTCTGGGTCAACCCAGTCGGCGCAGCTAGCTGCAGTGCCCTCCTTGCAAGTTGGGCGCGCGTCGGGAGGAACAATGTGGCTAAACCCGCCTTTGATACCAAGCATGCTGAGATAGTTGAGGTCGGCGGCTTGGACGGGGTCGGCCGGCTGCAGGTAGAAGGGTCCGCGGGTAGAAGGGCCCTCGTCCAAGTTGATCTTGACGATGTTGGACTCGCTCAGCCAGCCCTAGGCGAGAGAGGGGGCGGGCAATCTAAAACGACACCGCGAAGAGAGAAGGGCGAGGGCGGCGTTCACCTGGATGAGCTTCTCCGGAGCCAAGAGGTGCCCGCCATAACTTCCGGCCGAATTGGCCCCCATGACGCTCAGACTTCCCCCGTACGACGAGTAGCTGGTCGGTGTCTGCAGGTTTGGCAAGTTGGACTCTAGGAACATGGTCTCTGCGATGTTCGCGCCCCAGTCGCCCGAAGAAACTGAAGCGCGAGCGACCAGGAAAGTGAGGGATGTCGGCTTGGACTGCGCGAGTGGCGACTCTGCGGAACGACAGCCTAGTGCACTAGAGGATTCTAGGAAGCGTCTCAACTGGAGTTGCAGTGGTTGAGGCCGAGGTTGTGACCGAGCTCGTGGATAAACGTGCTGGCGGTGCTGCCGGACACACGGTTGACGATCAGGCCGGGGCCTCCGACTCGCCCGATCCCGCCCCACCCCCAGCCCATGCAGCGCGGCGTCCCCACCCACCAAAAGTCGAACTCGACCCCGGATGGCGTGAGCGGGGGATAATCGTAGCCGGCGGCGGCGAAGGCCTTCACGTCGATGGTGTTGCTCGAGCTCGAGCTGCCGAGGGGGCTAAAGTTGTGGCAAGTGCTGGAGGTGATATCGGAGACGGAGACCGGCGCCGTGATGGTTGGCTGCAACTGAAATCGACCCTGGGAGTTATAGTCAAAAAAGTCGTTGGCCCAATCCATTGTGTCCGCCATCCGCTGGCTGAATGTCGGGCGCTGGCCATTAGGTCCGCAGTCCCCGGTCTGACTGTACCCGCAGTAATTGAAGAGCGAGTCGCCGTCCCACCCGTCCTCCACCGCGTCGCAAGACGTGCCGTCAAACTTGTCCGACCAGCACCTGTAGTGTTAGCACGTGTCGTCGCGAGTGAAGACTGGGGCTGGGCTGCTGGCCCTACTGAAACAGCATGCAGCATCTAGGACCAGCACAGAGGAACCACCAGGACAGTCTTGACGCCGATGGAGTAGCTGTTCAAGTTACGATCGGACGCCCCGCCACCGTCATCGTCGTCGTCATCCGAGACTCCCTTCCCCCTCTTCATGCCCGGAGCCAGCGGGCCGTGCGAGACGAGGTAAAACTTCATGTCCAGCATGAAGCCTCGCACCTGCACTTCCGGCGAAGAGACGACGGGCGTCATCCGGAAGAGCGGAAGGGGAGGTCGGCCTGGAAGCAGGATGATCTCCGGGAACTCAATCGCGGCCTCCATCGCCCCGAGCTCAGAGTCATCCAGCTGGCCACCAGAAATGATCTCCAACTCGGCTGGTCCATTGTACGGTTCGTCCACCAAGCACGATTTGGGATAGTCCACGCCCGGCTAGAGGAGGGGGATAGGGCCAGGGTGAGTGCCGACACGCCACCCAGTGTGGAGCACAACATGTTGGTATTTTCTGTCTATCTCTCGCACCTTTCGGTCTAGCGATTCGGAGGTCTTGAGTGCTGCATCGAGGTCTCCGGCTTCAATATCAGCATAGATGCCGTCGAGGCGCGCCTTGCACTCCTCCTCGGTGGGAGGCGTGCGCCTGCTTGCAAGCACAACAAGTGGCAGCGGTGCAAAGAGCGCGAGGGCCCTGGTCGTTGGCATTCGATCCGCCGACGCTGTTCGACGGGTGTCTTTTTGTTTGAGGCTCAGCTCCTGGAATCCGACTATGTCGGCTTTTTCAATTTTTGCCGTCTTGATGGCCTGTTCCCATGTTCCTTTCGAGAGGGCTCCTCGGATATTGGCGGATATGATTTTGAGGTTGGGACCCTCTCCTTCGTACCCAAGGGTGTGGTCGAATACGACGCTGTATTTGATGTGCTCTTGCGCGATGGGGAGCTTTCTGCGAGTCTTCGTGAGTAGTGGAATGGTCATCGAGTTTAGGGTGATGCGCCCCTGAAGGGGGGCTTGGGTGTGACTTTTTGTCTGAAATGCCTTAAAGGTGACGACCCTACTGGACTCTCCACTGGACTTTGGGGGGTGGGCATCATCCCGAGCCAACTCTACGTTGGGCTTATGAGTTTGAGCGCCACGGGTCTCTGGGGAGTCCGTCGTCGATACGCTGGGATGCCCGTGTGGTGCGGGGCGGTCGGGCGCGAGGCGCGGCGAGGCCGATGACTTACGCGATGAAAGGGCCTGAGTCGCATGGCGAGGGGGGTTGGGAGCTACTCCCGTTGTGGGGGCCTCTAGGGCGGGCAGGGGGGTGTGACCTGCTGCGGTCTTGGACATCTGCGCCATGGCGGCGAGGAGCGTCGACTCCTGGTTGGCGCCCCGCGTCATGCGCGGGGGCTGGGGCTTTGGGCGGCAGCCCCCTTCGTGCGGGCACTCCGCGAAGCGGTGGAGGCAGAAGGGCCGGAGGCCAAACTGGTTGCGCGTGGCGGGGTCCACCCCGTACTCCCCGCGGATCCAGCAGTAGCCGATCTGCGTCGAGTCCTTGAAACGGAGGGGGATGCCGCCCGGGCGCCCGTAGGACTTGCGCTGGGTAAGCGCGTTCCAGTCGGCGGGCTCCTTCTCCACCCCGCGGTGGCGGGCGTGGAGGAGGGTCTTGACCATGCCGACGTCGGTGGTGAGGCTCGCGATGACGGGTTCCTTGACAAAGGTGGAGAGCGCGTCCTTGACCGCGTTGACAAGGCCGGGGCGGGCGGCGTCGACGGCGCTCACCTCGAGCGAGAATGAGTAGTCGCGGGGCGCGCCCTGCGGGACGGGGTCCTTGGAGATCCCGCCGACCGTGATCTTGACCCCGAAGGCGGAGTTGGAGCCGCACGGGGCGGGGGCCGGGAGCGCGGGGCCCGGGTGTTGGAAGCGCCCGTGGGTGCCGCCACCGTAGTGCGCGACCACGTGGTGCGCGGCGGCGGCGGCCCCCTGGCAGCGGAAGCTGATCGCCCCCGTCGCGCCGCGGTTGGTGGCGACCCAGGCGAACTGGCCGGGCTGGAGAAGCGAGGCGTCGCTGCCTTCGCCCGAGGTGGGGAAGGCGAGCTTGACGGCAGCGAGGCACAGCGCGTTGTCGAGGATGTGGCCCTCAGGGGCGTAGAGGCGCAGCACCTGCGCAATTGGGGAGATTCGGTCCATTGTGAGTAGGGGAGCATTTTCAGGCGATTGGGGTCGTGTGAAGAGGGGAGGGGCCACGCGGCCTTCGGTCGAGGAGGCGTCCTGGGCGTGAGATAGGTGGAAGGGTGTGTTCTTTCCCGGAAGAAGGGAGGTGCTCAGCACCGTCATTAGTAGACACAAGCACACCATAACCGACATCAAGACGTGTGTCACGAGTCGGGGGGGCGTTGTCTTCTGGCACTCGGTGCCTTGGAGGCCTCTCAGAGGCTTCGTGGTTGGGGTAGTGTGAGAGGAAGTGGAGGCAGAGATTGGTGCAGGGGGGAGGGCAGGTGGGTGGAGGGTGGTGGAGGAGGGGGGGGGGGAGGGGGGAGAGAGTGGGGGACCCCCTGGGGGCCTCTTGGGCGCGTAGGCGCAGGGGTGGCATTCAGTGCCTGTGTTGCTCCCCTGGAGCTTGGGGTGAGTTGTGGAGTGTGGAGATGGGTGGTGTGGAAGTGCCAGGGGGGGCTGGGCCAAAGTGGGGGTGAGGGGGGGAGGGGGAGGATGGTGGGTGTGAATGTTCTGTGACCGCGTGGCGCAGGGTGTGAAATGCGGCGTGGTGTGAGGGGGGAGGGAGGGGGGGAGTCTCGCCGCGCGGTTCGACAGGTCGTCGGAGTCGAAGGGGGCCGGGCGCTGCCGGCCGTCGTCGGCGCCGCCGAGCGCCCCGTCGCCGCTCGTAGGCGCCTCGTCGGCCGCGTCGGGCTCCCCCCCCTCCGCTGCGTCCGCGGAGGGCTGGAGCGGAGGGGCGGGCTGGGCCGGCGGGGGGCGCGGCTTCTTGGGCGTCTGGCCGCGCGCCTTGGGCGCCTTGTTGGCGCCCAGCGCCTTGTCGGCCGACTCGGGCTTGGGGCGCGGGCGCGCGACCTTGGTGGCTCCGCCGGCGGAGCGGCGCGCCTTGAGCGGCGCGGAGCCGCGGCCGCCAGAGGGATCCTCCCCGCCGCTCGCAGGGCGGGCGGCGGGCGAGGGGCGCCCGCTTTGGCGCGCCGCGGGGAGCTTGGCGTCCTCCTTGTCGCGCGCCGCCCGCTTGTCGGTGGCGCCGGAGACCAACTTCTGGTCCGGTGCGCGGCGCGGGAGGGCGGCGGGGCCGGTGAGCTTGGATCTCGGGCGGTGGACGGGCGGGACAACAGCGCTCCCCGAGCCGATGCCGAGGGGGGGCGACGCTCGCGACTTGAGCTTCTTGCGCGGGATGTCCTCGGCCTTGCCCGAGGGGAGGTTCTTCTCTGAGCGCGTCGGCGGTGCGGCGTCGGGGGTGAGCTCGGCGCGCTGCGCGTTGCGCTCCTTGAGGATGGACGGGTTCTGGGGGAAGGTGTCCAGCGCCTCGGCGAGGGCCGGGTCCTCCTCCAGGTCCTGCTGGGGGCGCGAGGACATGGGGAGAGAGCGCGTAGATGCCTCGTGCCTCTCGAAAAAGAAGAATTCGACGCCGTGAGTTGCATCAGTTGCTCGAGTCCACACACCCGGCAGTCTGCTACGATGAGTGAGGACTTCGAGACCCTCTCTGCCGCGTGGGCCGACCCGCCCGGACCCTTGACGCCCCCATCGCTCTCTCTCACGCCGTCCGAGCGCGACCTCACGTCTTCGCTCCTGAGTCAGGAGTCCTTTGGCGAGATCATGTCAATTGCTGACGCCGCAAGACTTCAGCAACGCGTGTGCGAGCTCGAGGCGCGGGAAATGGCGCGGCAGCGTCAAACTCTGCTCCTCCTCTTTCGCACCGAAGTTGCAGAGGCCAAGGCTGACGCAGCGGCGGGTCGGCCAAACGAGAACAGCGCCACGCGGCGAGCCAGAGCCGTGCAGGCGGCCGCGCGCCGCCGGCAAGCAGTAGTGACGCTTCGCCGCGCGACCGACGCGGCTCGCACGATGCAGCGCCTCGCGCGTGGCGGCCGAGCGCGGCGGAGATCGTCGCAGCGCCGCACCTCCGCCATCAGGCTGCAGGCCGCCACGCGCGAGCGTGCGCAGGTGGTTCGGTTTGCGCGCAGCTGCGCTGCGTGCGCCTTCATCCAGCGGGCGGCGCGCGGCATGCGCGCGCGTGCATTCCGGCGGCATGTCCTCGCGACTGCCGCCGCACTCCGCGCTGCCCTCTCGCATGCACCTCCCGAGGTGAATCTTTCTCCCTCCTCCCTCCCTCTCTCCCTCCCTCCCACCTACCCACTCACTCACACACACACACACACACACTCACACACACACACACTCACACACACACTCGCACACACACACACACACACACACACACACACACACACACACACACACACACACACACACACACACACACACACACACACACACACACACACGACCTGCAGACACACCTTCTGCCGCAAACCCACCTCAGGTGGCGGAGGCTGCGATGCGATGCGCGCGGTGGTCCTGCGGAGGGACAGAGGTGCGCCGCAGACTTAACACGCGAGAGTCGAGACAGGGCCTGATCCAGCACGCTAGAGAGCCTAGAGAGTCGAGACGGGGTCTGATCCGCGTGTGCGCTGTGAGGTGAGCGTGCTCGAGTCGGCGGTCGCCTTTCGCGAGGAGCGCTCTCGAGTCGCGCCGCCGCCTCGAGCCGACAGCGTCGCCGGCTCCGTCGCCAGCAGCGTCGCCGAAATCACTGGCCTCGATCCGGCCCAGGTGAGCAGCCAACCCCGTCACGCTCACAGCCAAGCCGCACCACCCACGCCTCACCGCAAGCCCTCCACCCCACCGCAGGCGGCCTCCTACCTCGAGCTTGCGGGCGGCAACCTCGAGGCACCCAGAGCGATTCCTTCCCGCCGCCGCGTGAGCCGCGTCTCTTCACACATCCGGCCGTGAACAGGTGGCCGTCCAGCTCTTCTTCGACGGCGTTGACGCCCCGCCCTCCGCATGGCCGCCCCCTCCGCCGCCGCCCGCCCGGCCGGGGTACGTCTTCAAGCGCGGCGACAGCGGCGTCGGCTACTACCCCGACCCGCCCGCCAGCGCGACCGGCTCCACCGCGGGCGCAGGACGGTGCGTCGTCGGCGGCGGCGGCGGCGCGCCGCCCCAGCCGGAGATCCGGCGCAGCCCGCCTCCCTTCGCCGACGCGACCGCCGACGCGACCGCGAATGAGACGCCGTACCTCCGCGCGCAGCTGCGGCAGCTGACAGCTGAGCGTGACCAGCTGCGCGACGCGGTGAAGACTCTGAGCGCCGATGTGCTGTGCGCGGAGCGGGCGAGCTGCGATGGCTACGCACCTCGCTCACGGGCGGCCTCCACCGCCGCCGCCTCTTCGGCGCCCACGCGAGACCCTTTCCTCGAGCTGCTGGGCTGGCAGTGGGACTGAGGCAAGCCCCGCCGCCTGGAGGGACAAGATGAGGTGGCATGGCGCATGGCATTGGGCCCCCGCGCGTACTTGTCACTGGATGCTAAGAGGGGCGGCTTTACGACGACAATATCTGCAAGCCTTGTTGCAACGAAGGCTTGAGCGCACCGGGTACTTTGGGCAGCGGGCAGGAAGAGCAGGAACGCGCATAGCAGTCGCGAGATCGGCAGCTTGTCGCCTCGCATCCAAAGAGGGACGTCCGCGGATCGGATTGCAGTCGGATCGGATTGTTTAGGAGCCTTCTTTCTAAGGAAGCCGTCGTCTCCTGCGCCTTGTCTGTCGTGTGAATCGTGCGTGTGCGTCCACAACGCACAAGATTTGTGAATCCTTTTCCGTTTCTGCCACGCATCGGCAATCTCTGTTCGCTTCTGATCGGGGTGTAGGAAGCCGCGCGCCGGATATATATACTCTAACTGTGTGGGGCCCCTTAGCCTTTTACGTAAGTGGGGCGGGCCCCCGCGGGCGGGGCCGGTTCCAGGCCCGGCAGGGGCACCGGCGGGCCCCGGCCGGGTCACGAAAGACAAAAGTGGCCGCTCCCGGGCCGCCGAGCGTGCTTTTGCCGGGCCGGTTTTCTCCTCGCCGGGCCCGCCTCGCGCAAAACGGGCCCGGCAAACCCTCCTGTCCGGGCCCGGCTGTGAGTGAGCGGGCCGGCCTATGTGCCGCAGACGGGCCCGGGCAGGACGGTTTGCCGGGCCGGTTTTCTCCTCGCCGGGCCCGCCTCGCTCCTCGACCTGCTGATTTGGGCGCTTCGGCCCGGGAGTGGCAAGCCGGGCCCGGCAAAGCGCGCGGGCCGGGCCCGGGAGGGGCAAGCCGGGCCCGGCAGGGCGCGCGGGCCGGCCCGGCACGGGTCCGAGCCGGGCCCGGCAGGGGCCCGAGCCGGGCCCGGCCGGGCCCGGCGCCCCACTTTGCAAATCGACCCGTTTCCCATCCAATATTTCCCACTCGCCCTCTCGGCCGCGGAGGCCCCAACTGAGAGCGGGGCCCGGGGGAAGGGGTCCCTACTGGTCGTTCCCACCCCTCGCACGACCCCGGGCGACAGCGGGGGACCCCGCAGCAGCAAACCCGCCCCACTTACATCCGGCCGCTTCCTACCCCGCACAGCAAAAGCCCGACCCACAGATGGCAAACCCCGGAAAGTGGGTCAAAAATGACCACCCACACGTGTAGGCCTCATGTGCACCTAGCCCATATACGCACCTGCATGTGTAGACGCGAGCATTAACTAGATCAAGATGAGCGCCCACCATGAGGACGCGCGTCTGCGTCCAGGTAGCCCATATACGTGTCTTCGTGTCTGGGCGCTTGTCTTTGAGCAAGGCTCGCGCCTACACGTGTAGCTGCGTGCGTATCCTGAGATGAGCGCCCACGCTTGTGTGTGGCGCCTATCTTAGCTAAGAAGAAAGCTAAGAAGAAGAATCTCACCCACCCACGCCGTCACCGCTCATGTCGCCGCCGCCAGCTGCGGTGCTCGAGAGGGAATTGCCTCCAGGCGTTCCTGGCGTCACGGACGCCGAGTCTGATGGCCGGGCACAGCTACGATGGGAATAAGCGGCCGGATGTAGAGTAAGCTACCAGGTGGGAATAGTGCTCGCACGCCGAGCCGAGTCTTGCACTCTCTGTCGCTGGCCTCGCCGAGCACACGGACCTGAGGGCGTGAACTCTGACGAGAGTCTCCTCAAGAATGCCTTTGCTCACTGGTTTGTTCGCGGTAGCATTTGTCGTCAATTTCAAGTCAGCCTCTATTGCGCGCAACTCTCTGGCTGGACGAGCGGGATGCACGTCGGTGCTGTGCGCCAGTCACGTGCGAGGATGCCACCTGAAGCCGTGGCAGTACCGCCTTCGTGCGAGGATCCGGCCGGTGCTGACCGAGACCGGTCCGCCACGACGCCGGCCAGCGGCGTACGGTCTGTACAGCGAGGAAGAGATCGTTCAGATTCACGAGAAGGCCGATGCGATCTTTGCTGTCCTCGACCGTAACGGTGACGGCGAGATCTCCGAGGAGGAGCTGCGCTCGCACCTCCTCGCGGCTGGGTACTCAGAGGCAGCCGTGGCGGAGCTGTACCAGATGCTGGATGCCAACCCTCGCGACGGCGCTGTCTCGCGCGACGAGCTTCGGGAGAGCTTCGTGCGCTACCCGCCGCTGCTCAAGGCGCCAGGTCTGGGCGAGCTCGGAGAGAAGGAGATGGCCGCGTTGTACGAAGAGGCCGACGCCGCCTTTGCGGCGCTCGATCTCGACGGCAACGGCAGCCTGTCGGTAGCAGAGCTTCACGAGAAGCTTGGCGGCGTCGAGGGGCCGAGCTACTCTTCGGTGGCCGTCGAGCGCATCTTTGACCAGCTGGATGTGGATGGCAACGGCGAAATCTCACTCGCCGAGTTCCGCGGCGGCTATGCTCGCTACCGCGCGATGCGGCTCGCACTTGGCTCGGGGTTCGCCACCGGCGGCTTGCAGTTATAGCCCAGGCCCCAGCCCGCGACCATGAAAGCATGAAAGGGTGCGACATGCGCACATCATGCCGCCTGCGCGCGTCGCGACTCGAGTTTTGTCGTCGAGAGCATGTGTGTGCTAAAGTTTTCTCTCCCCTACATGGAGATACTTGGTACAAGAGTCCGTAGAGTCGATCAGCGTCTCGCCGCTCGCCCATACCTCCGGGCATCGCGCGCATACTGTGGCGTGAGCAACGCCCAAAACGCTCGAGCCTGGTCGAGCCTCGAGCTCGACCCAGTCTGAGCCTCTCGTTTGTCGAGAATGTGGGGACTGTCGAACCGCGCCGCACCTGTAAGGTGAGGCCAGACCGCCGCAATTTAGCGGCGGTCGTCGTCGCACGGGTCATTCCCGCCGTCACGGATGTCGAGCGAGCGGTGGTCGGCGAGCAGCACGTTCGCCTTTGGCCCGTCGGCGAGCTGCTCAAGCTGCTGCCGGAAAGTGTTGTGCCGCCCGCGCGCTCTCGGCCGTGCCGCCTTGAGCGCGCCGCACGCCTCGTCCCACGAGGCGTCGGTGTAGAGGAGGAGGTAGGCGAGCAGGCCGCTCGGGCCGCGGTTGAACCCTTGCGCTGCTCAGGCGGGGATGGCGAGTGAGAGAGGGAGCGCGGGCAAAAAGAGACGGATGAGAGCCGCACCGCAGTGGACCCAGACCGACTCGCCTCGCCGGAGTGAGGCGTCGATCGCCCGAGCATCGCGCTGCAGAAACTCGACCACCCTCTCGCATTCGGCGTCGGAAGCTGGTTTCCGGTCGTGCAGGCTACCGAGGCCCGCGGTGAGCGTGGCCACATTGCCGCGCACGCGAACCTCGGTGCCCGACTTGCGGCAGTCCACCTCCACCGCCGAAGGCGGCACCGCGGCTGGTCGGAGCGCGTGGTGTCCGGATGCGTCTTTGCACGCGCCACCGACGTAGATCACTGGCCCAGCCTGACGCTCAGCAGCGGGTGACAGCTCCACCTCCACGCCGTCGAGCCGCCGCCCTCCGGAGGTGACGTCGGTGGTGCTCCCTGAAGAGGCGGCAGTGGCAGCCGACGAAGGGGCACCTTGGCGAGCCTCGCGCTCGCGACGGAGCGCGGCGAAGTCGATGCCGGACATATGTGTGTTACACCCCGGTGCGCGTTAACGCATTTCTTCTCTGCCGGATATCGCGCGGAGTTTCTTCTTTTTCCAGCAATGCCCGCCAAGATCTTCGGACGGGCCCCTCCACCCTTCACGTACGAATCAAGAAGTCCCCACAATCGCTGTCGTGGTGGGATCGCTTGTTTGTAAGGGTGCAGAGCGCCGCATCGCACCCCCGTTTCCTTCTTCTCTGTGCCTCTTTTGGTACCTGTGTCGAACCTGTGTGGTGCGAGGGAGTTGTGGTTGAGTGGGTTGTTGAATTCTTCTCGAGTGGGGGGCTCACAGCACCGCCGCCTCCGCGCACCCTCGCCAAAAGCGCTCGGCAACCATGCCGATCATGGTCCCGCCGCGCTTCCCGACAATCAACGCCTCACCGACGGTCGGCGCCGTCACACGCAACTTTGGCATCGGCGACTGGCTCTGGGTGACCAGCTTCACGGCCTTCAGCGCGGGTGTCGGCTTTGCGATCGGTGAGCACCGCGCCACCGCGCGATGGCCCGCGCGCCCTCCGTGTCGCCCTCCGCCTCAACAGCGCGCCTCCCTCCCCACGCACCGCTGCGCGCCAACCCTTCCGAGCGCGCTGCAGGCAAGCCGATCCGGCGGCCCACCTTCTTCTACGCGGGCGCGCTCGGCTTCCTGATGTCGTACCTCGGCCGCTACCGCATCAACGAGTACAAGCTCCTCGGCTACTACCCCAACCCCTCCGAGTGCCGGTGGGCTGGCATCGAGTTCAAGGAGCTGAGGCCTCCTATCGGCATCGAGCCGTGAGCGTCCCCTCTGCGCCGCACCCTCGCTTTGCCGGACGACGATAGGCCGTTGGCACATTTGCATGCCGCGTCTCCCCTCCCCCAGCGGGGAGTGTTGACGCCCCCCGAGGCGTGAGGCTGGTCTCCGCGGCCCCCCCTTGCTGCCGCTCCCTAGGCCGCTCCGCCGTTCCGCGTTCATTTCACTGATAGAGTGTCGCTCGGCGGCAGCCCTCGGAGTATTGTACTTAGAGAGTACAACTTTGGCGTTGAATACATTCAAAAAGCACTGGCGCGCGCAGGTTCTCAGATACACAATACTACTTAAACTTCATCGCGCGCGGGCGCGCAAACGTGTCGTGGGAGAGTGGGGTGTGGAGCCTCTGTTCCGTGTTCGCTGCTGTTGGATCGGCCCGCGCCCGGACGCCGCGGGCGCGCGACGCCGGAGCGCAACCGGGGGCCGGGTAGGAGGGGTCTAGGTTACCTCTACCTCTGAAGGCCTGCGGCCCTCTTACCTTTACCTCTGGGCAGCCGTGGGCCCTTTACCTCTACCTCTTGTGAGCGACGCGTAGCCGTGATTACCCTGATTAACCTGTGCGTGATTTTAGTGATCTCGCCTCGAGGATCTCTCTCTCGCCGCGCGAGAGGCGAGTGTAGATCTCTCACTCTCTCGCGAGACGTGGTCTCGAGTGATCTCGAGATGTTGAGATCTATCGATACAACATAATCTGCGATTTTCACTCGCCGAGAAGGGAGCATAAATTGCGCAGCCGCACGAGTGTTTCTGAGAGCCGCTTAGGTGAGTGGCAGACATTTCAAAAAATGGGCGCCGCAGGCGCCCCGCGCTGCGTGCCCACCATGGAGCATGGTTGGGCAGCGAGGAAAATTTTGGATGTCGACAGCCTTTTCTAGGAAAATGGCCTCCTCGGCGCCATACCGCTCTTCGGCGCACAGCAGAGCTCGCAGCCTGACATGCTGCCTTCCCTTCTATACACTTTCAGAATGGAGGCAGCGCCGGGCTCAGCTGTGCCCAGACCAAGTCGATTTGTACCAAAGTTGGTAGACAGTGCCAAAACCACGTAATCGAAAATGGCTCTTAAATTCGCGCACCTAGTGTCCGCACTGCCGCATGGTGCGAGCCGCCACTCCTGAGATGGTCTCCGCTGCGATGCTTTTGCTGTCTGCGTCAATGCAGCATCCCATCGAGCGCGTCACTATGTCTATGACCTGACCCCTCTGATAACCGACGTCGCCAACGGCAAGCCTGCGTCCGTGTTGCATATGCTCTCCATCCATGTTCGCATTGCGGTGGATTGCCAATTCGAGCCACTTGAGCAATCATGCACAATCAATGCGCCGAAGAGCTGAGACGCAGATTCTTTGCACCGGGTCAGCAGGCAGGCAGTGCAAGGTCCAAGTGGTCGCGGCACTGGTCATTCGCGATGCGGTAGGCGATGCGATCAGCCGTCAGCAAGCGGCGGTGAAGCCTGGTCCATGGCCGGGCAGGCGCGCCGCAGGCGAAGCGCTCTCGCGGGGCCTCTCGGTCCTCGGCGGGCACGTTCACGGGCGTACGTTTACCTGCCCTCACCTGGGCTCCGTTTACCTCTACCTCCGGCGGTCTGAGACAGGTTTACCTTTACCTGAGGCCCCCCAGGCCAGCCCTACCTCTACCTGCGCCCCCGCCCTCCCCCTCCGGGCCGAGTTGGAGCGAGACCCGAGAGCGAGACGCGCCGGCGCGGCCGGCGTGCGGGTCGGTGCGCGTGTGGTGGTGAAAGCCGTAAAAGAGAGACTAGAGAAAAACCGGTTCGCAAACGAATACCGAGTCCCACCGAGACCAACCACAAGCGCAACCCCACGTTTAAATAATAAAACAACAAAACGGACACTTCTACTAGGAGATGGGTAAGAAGGAGCAAGTCCCAGCCCGACCCGACACAACCTCACAAGTCCCAACCCCCCGAAATGCGAAAAATATGTTGACAGAGGCGCGCGCGTCGCGAGCGACCACACACAGGAGCGTCCAGGAGTCCTCAACGCCTCGACAGCGCGACCCCGAGACCGACGCCGACTACGAGGAGCGCGAGCACGCCCAGCGCGGGCGGCCCAACGCGTATCACGGTACCGCCGCCCTCCGCGCCGCCGCCGCCCGCCTTCCCGCTGCGCTGGGCTCTCTCCTCGGCGGTCAGGTCTCGCGCCTTGAGGTCAGGCGTTTGGCAAAGGTCGGGGTGCGAGGTCCCGTGCACGCGGTGGGCAGGGACGAGTCTTGCACGAGTGCCGGTGTCTCGGGCACACACCTTGAACTTCGGCTTGCAGTGGTGCAAGCCGTCCGGTATCCAGACGTAGTTCGCAAAGATGTAGATCGAGGCATTGTCTGGGATGATATTGGTCTCGGCATCCTGCGGGAGGTGGGGCCTTGTCAGGTTGCGCGCATAATAGCGGTGGCATGGCTCTGGCTGACTCGCCGGGCCCTCGGCATGCAGCGCCTCCGAACCGCTCTGCTGCGTGAAGCCGAGCCCGAGAGAGCGCTTAAGCTGCTGCTGCTCTACGAGCGGACTGCGCCATTCGCCCACGGCAAGGTCAGCGGGATGCTTTGTGTCGCGAGGTCCATGGAGAATAAACTCTTCGTTGCCGGGAAAGTCTGGCGTGACCCACCAGCCACTCCACGCGTCCCCGTCGCGCTCGTCCCACCAGTAGAGGTAGATATCACGCTCTCGCTGGCCGCCGGGATAGGTCACAAGAGGCATAAGCGGCGGGAATGGCGGCAGAGGGTTCGCGGCGGGAGGATTCGCGACAGAGGAGGTCGAGCAAAAGACAAACGAACAGGTGCAACAAAAGGTCGCTGCAGACGCCCAAGGGTGGGCGACGGCTAGCACCACACTCCTTCCTTGCCGTGAAATCCCAAGAGAGAGATTTCTAAAATCTCTCTCTGTACTCTGAAATCCCTGTGTTCACGGAGTCAAAGGAGAGAGATTTTCTAAAATCTCTCTCTCTCTCTCAAAGGACGGCCGCGAAAGTGCACGGCGAGAGAAAACCTGTGTGGTGGCGGCGTGCCGTCCTCCCATCCCTCCCTTGGCCTGGCAGTTTTCTTTCTTTCTTTCTTTTAGGCACGGGAGAAACCGGAAGAGAATTCTCCGGACCGCGCCCCTCTGCCTTCCGCTTCCCACACTTTTCTTTCTTCTCTGCTCTTCACAACAAGAAAGCGAAACGGAGAAAATCGAAGGGAACAACACCTGCCCAGACAGCCGGTAAGAGAGCAACGACACCATCTCAGACGCGCCCTCTCTTCCACGTGTGGGTCCTCCGCCGTCTCTGTGGATGGCGCATCAAGTAGAATGAACGCACGTGCACGGGTAGGCTCCCTGATGGGCACGTGTAGCCCAAAAGCTGTGTGGACTTGCACACACAATCCGTAGTGAGTCCTCATCTGACGTCAGCCTCGCGGACAACCCGTTCGCGAAATGTGGCATGATTGACCAGCCCTCCCCACGCTCCGCATTCCATTGCATTCACCGCCGTTGAGCGTTGTTGACACACTGGCGAAGTAGAGCTCCGTGTAAATGGCGAAAGCATGATCAGCACCTTGGGAACCAAGGGTAGCGGCAGCAAATGTCTCGGCACCCACCCCTTGGCGGCGATGGCGATGGCGGTGGTGGGTGCGATGACGATGCTGGCGGTGGCGATGGCGATGGTGGGGGAGGCGATCGGGTTGGGGGAGAGAAGATGGGCGGCGGTGGCGAAGGGGATGGCGTTGGGGGCGGCTTCCGGCTTGGCTCCGGGGCGGGGCTGGGGATAGGGTCAGGGTCAGGGTCCGGATTGGCCTCGCCAGAGGGGGAAGGGGGCGGCGGGTAGGGCGACGGAGGTGAGCGGGACCAACGAGGCGGGGAGGCGGAGGGCGGGAAGGTGGAGGACGGCGTGGGTGGGGAGGGTGATGGAGGCGAGCGCCACCAAAAAGGCGGAGAGGCGGAGGGCGGGAAGGTGGAGGACGGAGTTGGCGGCGAGGGCGACGGAGGAGGAGGGCGCCACCGCCAGTAAGGCGGCGTGGCGGAGGGCGGGAAGGTGGAGGACGGAGTTGGCGGCGAGGGCGACGGAGGAGGAGGGCGCCACCGCCAGTAGGGCGGCGTGGCGGAGGGCGGGAAGGTGGAGGACGGAGTTGGCGGCGAGGGCGACGGAGGAGGAGGGCGCCACCGCCAGTAGGGCGGCGTGGCGGAGGGCGGGAAGGTGGAGGACGGAGTTGGCGGCGAGGGCGACGGAGGAGGAGGGCGCCACCGCCAGTAAGGCGGCGTGGCGGAGGGCGGGAAGGTGTTGATGGGCGACGGAGGCGGGGGTGGTGGCCGGATGAAGGGTGGCGCGGGTGGTGCGGGGGGCGGCGAGGGCGGCGAGGGAGGTGCGGGCTCGAGGCAAACGGCAGCCTCTGCGTCGAAGCGGTTGTTGAAGAGGAGAGCATTGGCGGTGTCGGCGGGGAGCTCGGTCACAATGTCCTTCGTCGAAAAGCAGAGGAGCGCCGCCGTGGCCTCGTCGGGTGTCAAGGATGGCTGCAGCGCCAGAATCTGCGCGGCGACGCCCGCCGCATGAGGCGTGGCCATGCTTGTCCCACTGATCGTCCTCGTGTTGGTGTCCGAGCCAGACCAAGCAGCGGTGATATCACGGCCCGGTGCAAACACATCGACACAGGGTCCATAGTTGGAGAAGCTGGACCTGCCGTCGCCTCGGTCTGTCGAGCCCACGGTGATGGCGAGCGCGGTGGATGCGGGAGACTTGCGGCACGCGTCGCCGTTGTTGTTCCCCGCAGCGACGACGGTAAGCACGCCTTCCGCGTGAGCGGCGCCGATGACCGCATCATACCGATTGGAGCCCCCGCCCCCAAGAGACATGGAGAGTATCGCGGGCTTCCCGCGTGCCTTGGCGTCGGCAACCGCCCACTCAATCCCTGCAGACACGCCTGCACTCGAGCCGGAGCCCGAGCAGGAGAGCACCTGCACCGTGATGATCGTAACACCACTGGCCACGCCGTAGTCCTTGCCGCCCACAGTCGAGGCGCAGTGAGTGCCGTGACCGTGGCAGCGTGAGTCGCCCTCGCCGATGACGCCCTGGTACAGCCAGCCGCTGAAGTCGTTGCCACACAGGAACTCTGAGCCGGTGGGACAGCCTGCCGACCAGCCGGGCAGGGCACGGCCGCCAAAGTCGGTGTGGGAGATGCGCACACCCGTATCGAGCACGTAGACGATGGCGCCCGCGCCTGTGAATGCCGGGAGAGAGGCGTGTGGCGGGGCGGAGGGGTGGAGGGGCGGAGGGCGAGACGAGAGGCGGAGGGGTGGGGGGGCGGAGGGCGAGACGAGAGGCGGAGGGGTGGAGGGGCGATGCACCCGTTGCGCCAGAGTTGTCGTATTGGCCATCGGTGCCGGTGCGGGAGTCGATCCGATCGAGGCCCCACGAAAGGGCCGCAGAGATGCCGGCAGTGGAGCCCTCCTCGGGGTCGAGTTCGATGATGCAGTTGGCGGTGACAGACTTGATCTGGCTGTCGTGGAGCAGCGCGTCGATGGATGTGTCGGGGAGACGCGCAGCCACGGTGTTGATGGAGCGCAGCTTGTACAGGATGTCGACGCCGGTGAAGAGGCCAAGCTTGCTCATGAGGAAGGCCATCTTGTCTGGCCCGCCGGGCAGCTCGTTGAGCTCAATCATCACTCCATCGGAGCCGTGCTCGCAGTCGTCGATGCTCTGTGCAAGGCGGCGGCGGCGCTCGATGGAGGTGGTCGGAGCGGCGAGCGACGAGAGCGCGGAGGCCAGGAGGACAAGGTTACGAAGCATGGGCGAAGAGGACAGATCGAAAAGCAAGCGCGCGGGACGTTCGCTGCAACTATGGTCATATGTGTCACGGAGTCGAATAGCAGCGCGTCCGGGACAACCCCGATCCGCTTGGATTCTTGTATTACATTCCTTTTTCGCGTCCGAGACGTCCGCGTGGGAAGAGAGAGAAAGAATGTATGTTCTTTATAGGACAGGAGAAAAGACGAGCACTTGTTGTGTGTTGTGTGTTGTGGTGGTGTGCGGTGTGCGGGGTGTGTGTGTGTTGTGCGAGAACATGTAGATAGATGAGAGTTTTCGTTGTACGTACTTTTAGCTCTCTCTCTCTCGTTGTATGTGGCTCTTACGTACATACATTCCCGGAGGAGGACTGCTGACAGATTTTGGATACCAAAAAACTCACATGTTGTGTGAGAGAGAGATTTTTAGCAATACAATTCCAAACAACACTAACAGCCACACATCATTTGTTTTGTTGGTGTTTTGTTGATGTGTGTGTGTCACACACATTCATTGTCTATAAACACAACTCTCTCTCTCTCCATTGAGCATTGTGGGTGATGTACGTACGTGCGGGTTCCGGATCATTTCTTTCTTTCCACTGATGAGAGAGAGAGATTTTTAGCAATACCAAACAACTCTAACACTCACACGTCATTTGTTCTGATGAGAGAGATTTCGAGGGGTCCCGTACCATGCGGAATCGACCCTATCCAGTGCTCACTCAAGTGCTCAGATTTTTAGCACCCTCACATTACCAAAAGTTTTTGTGTGTCCGTGCCAGCGCGTGCCACTTCTGCCGAGCTCCCGCGCGCCTCAATTCTCCAGGTGCCATAAATAAATAAATAAAACGGACACACCAAACAAGGGGTGGGATTGATTGATTGATGGGAAGGCGAAACACAGTCCGACCGGGTGGGAGAAGCAAAAAAGAAAGAAAACAGACAACCCAAGGGAGGGATGGGAGGACGGCTGGGAGAAGCAGAAAGGTTTGTTCGCCCGAGGATTTGTTTTTGTTTGCGACACCTCAGCACAGCAATGTTCCTGTCGCTGGTCTGGCCTGCGTCGGCCGCCGAGGCGCTGCGCGGCGTGTCCGCCGAGGCGCTGCGCGGCGTGTCCGCCGATGCGCGCCCTTCCTTTAACGGCCCTACTTTCCGCTGCCGAGATGGCGGCGCCGAGATGCCCTCAGCTCGCGTCAACGATGACTATTGTGATTGCCTCGATGGTTCGGATGAGCCGGGCACTTCGGCTTGCGCGCTCGGCGCCTTTTACTGCGCCAACGTCGGCTTCAAGCCTCGGGTCCTCCCGGCGTCGCGTGTCGACGACGGCATCTGCGACTGCTGCGACGGCTCGGATGAGAGCGTGGCCGGCACCTGCCAAGACGCGTGCGAGGCGCAAGGCGCCGCGTTCCGCGCCGCGGCGGCGGAGCGCGCGGCCGCCGTCGAGCGCGGCCTCGCGGCGCGCAGAGAGTACGTCGCCAAGTACGCCTCGGCCAAGGGCGGCTGGGCGTCGGAGGTAGCAGAGAAGAAGACGGCGCTCGAGGAGGCAAAGGCGTCAGAGGCGGCGCTCAAGGAGCAGAAGGAGGCGGCGGAGGTGGTCGAGCGGGCGATGCAGGACGAGGAGCGGAAGCGCAGGGAGGTGGAGGAGGCGGCACGCGCCGCCGCGGAGGCGCGCGAGCGCTCGCTCTGCCTCTGCGACGAGCAATCGCGCATTCCCTCTGCCCGCCGCGGAGGCAGTCGCCTCTCACTCACTCGCCTCTCACCCGCGGCGCGGCCTCACCCGCAGGCGGAGCGAAGGGCGGCTGAGGAAGCCGCGCTCAACGCGACGCGCGCGCTCCTCGAGCGGTGCACCGCCGAGGTCAGCCCCGACCCCGAGGCGCTCGCCGCGTGCCCGCCCCCGACCGAGGCGGAGCCGGCGGCGGAGGAAGAGAATTCGTTGTTTGGCGACGACGACGACGAGGACAGCGGGGACGCGGCGGCTGCAGAGGCAGAGGGCGGAGGGGAGGCGGCGGGCGAGGCGGCGGGCGAGGCGGTGGGCGCCGCGGCGGACGCCGCGGCCGACGGCGCGGCGACCGCGGTGGCTTCTACGGTTTGCGTCGGCGGGTCGCTCGGTCCGGGGGGAGGAGGGAAAGAGTTCGGCTCGCGCTGCCACGCGGTGGCGTCGGGGTACCGCGGCGAGTGCGAGGAGCTCATCGTGGATGGCGCGTGCCCCCCCGAGGTGCGTCTCGCCTCCTCGACCGACTCACCGACGCACCGTGACCGACGGACTCTCGCCCCTCGTGACTCTCCCCGGCGGCTCTTGGCCTCCACCGCCACCGCCGCCGCCGCCACCCTCGCCGTCGCCACCCTCGCCGCCGCCACCGCCGCCTGCTCCGCATCTCTCTTCTCCGCCACTGCCGACGCCACCAGCACCACCTCTCTCCTTGGCCGCCGAGCTCCGCTGCCACCGCCTCCGCTGCCACCGCCTCCGCTGCCACCGCCTCCGCTGCCACCGCCTCCGCTGCCACCGCCTCCGCTGCCACCGCCTCCGCTGCCACCGCCTCCGCTGCCACCGCCATCGCCGCCACGGGGGCGGGGCGGGCCATGGCTGCCACCGCCCACCACCGCTTCGCCGCTCGCCGCAGGTGATGGCCGAAGACTGCGACTGCAAGCAGAGAGCGGGCAAGGCGTCCGCCGTACCGTGCTACTGCGCCTCCTGCAGCGACACCGCCCTGTGCACGCACTGCGAGACGTGCGGCCCGCCAGCGCCCGAGTGCGGCCCAACCGCCGGCAAGTGGGGCTGCTACGGCGTTCTCGGCGCGGCGCCCGCCGCGGAGGCGGAGGCGCCGAGCCTGCGCGCACTCGCGCACACCGACTCGCACAGCGCGCACGCACGCTCGCTCGCAAACAACTCACTGCTCACCTCACGCACCGGGGCTTGCCCTTTGCCCCCACTGGCGTGAGGAGACGCTGACCCACCCACCCCACCCCTCGCCTACAGGCGGCTAGCGACCCGGCCGCGGATCCCGCCGAGCCGGAGGCGGGCCAACCCGCTGTACACTTCGAATGCCCACGCGGCTCTTGCCCGTCTTGGGACGTGGAGACGCCGGGGGTTGGGGAAGGGGGTTTTTCTGGGCGTTGGGGGAGGGAATAAAAAAACCCACCCCTTCCCAAAAATGTGGGGGGGTTTTTTCTTCCTTCTCTTTAGAAAGGAGGACCCTTAAGGAGGATTTCCTTTGGCCCGGAGAAAAAACACCCCCCCCACCCGGGAGAGAAGCAAAAAACCCCTCTCTACAAGCCTCTAAAATATCCCTGGGGGGGGTGT